AAGATCACGTAATAAACGTTCGATTTTTATTTTAATACCTGTTTTTACTGAAAATAAGATATCATCACCGTTAACTGTGAAACTCTTTACCTCTTAGGGCAAAAATATCATACTGGATATTCCGATCCATTCAACTTATGACAAATACGGCCGAAAATACACAATTAATTGTTCGAGAAAATAACAAATAAATTTTAAATACAAATTAACAAATATGGCCGATTATTCCTTGTAATTTCCTACATATCAAAAAACAAGAAAAACAAAATTGAATATTACGGCGGAAGAAGTCGATTGTAAACAATTAACGATGGAAAAAAATCGAAACCATAATATTCAATGCTTATGAAGTGGCAAAGTCACACGCACAAATGTCAAAAATGTCTACACTTTTAAAGGAAAAACAAATCTACAGGCTTCAGCAACTCGGTGAATGTGTGAAGAAAAGTCTAAAACGATCAACATCAAAAACAATAGACGATATCGGAGCGAGTAGCTCTGAAATAGAAAACTCCAGTTCAGAAGATGAAGACGAAGAAGGTTTAGTGGATAATTGCAGGGACAATGAAACAGATGATCAAGGTCATTCTAGTGAAGATAATTGATCCATTCTTACATGTGAGAAGCCTGGGTTGAAAATGATAGCAAAGAATCGGTATCCTAAAAACCAAAAAAGGTTTCTGAGAAGCAGGAAATACAACTATCCCGTAATACCATTTTCAGTATTTAAAATATCGTTCCAGGTATTTTGAAAAAATTAACCGTAGCTTACAGAACTTTAAGAATGAAAATACCCCTTTGGCATCTTACAAAACCAATTTTGGTATTTCATAAAAACGGTATTTTATTGTGATAACAAAAACCATTTTGATGCTTTAGAATACCAATCACTTGTAACCTACTAGATCCTATTTGGTATAATGGAAATGAAATATGCTCTAAGGGTATTTTCAAAGGTGAATACCCTTTGGTTTCTTAGAGTGCCGTTTAGTAGCAGATATTGTTGATATCTATTTTGGTTTTTTGCGTCCCAAAACACAAAACCAAAATCAGTTTCGTGGACAGGATGAAATACCCGTTAGTTTTTTAAAATACCAATTTACCAATTTAGAGAGCACTCAGCTAAACTTGACTGTTAGTATCTCTGTAAAATATGACAATTAAAAGGAAAACATGGAAAACGAATAAATCCTTTAAAATATAATGAATGCATCAAACAAAAATCGTTTTATCGGTTTAATCAGTTTTATAGGTTTTCAACGATGAGCTTTCCGAATACAGTAGTTTTGGACCTAATCTACATTAATAAAATCGACTTTTCGAGCTCTTTCCAACTGTTCTATAGAAGTGCAAAAAGAAGGCAGATTCTCAGAAATGCACCTTTTTTCTCCTTTAAAAGCATTCCGAACTGTTTTCAAGGAAAGACTTTGGCACTGAGCCGATTTTCCATATATAACAAATTGATAAATGCGTTTACCTTTGATTTCTAATCTTCAGAACTCGAAAATGTCAAAATTCAGTTCCTTCCTTTAACTACCTACTTACAGCTTATTACAGCCAGTTAACTGACTTTTTCTTTCAAAAACAAAAAGATAGCGAGCCCGTGGCCACTCGCTACCACAGAAAAGAAATGGTCTATAAACTGTCAGTTTACAACCTCTTAATTGTCTAAAAATCATCTAAAAACTGTTCAATTTATTGGCCGTTTTTAGATATTAAGAAACTACTATGTAAAACGGCCAGTAACCGGTAAGACCAAAAAACTTTTTTAGGCAGACTGTAAACTGGCAGTTAATGAGCAGTTTATTGCCCGTCGACTTGACGTTCACTTTATGTGTCATTTACACACTTTATATTTTACAGTATAGGAAGAAACGAAAAGAAAAGAAAGAAGATAATAAATCAGTTAATGATAGACTTCATCAATAGTCATGTTTTAGATTTGTTTCGTGCTTAGTTCCAGCATGTATGTTTATAGCCTAATTATTATGGGAAAATTTTATCAGTGTTTTTGCCTGATCATTATTGTCCTGCTATTGTTGCATAATAGCACACTGGAACTATACGAAGTATATAGTATGTACGAATGAAAAGCAATTGAACTTTTGCATCATGAATTATCACAAATCGCTGTTCTTATGTCATCGTCCCTCCTTAAACCTATTTGACTGTGTGTGGTACAATTTGTAATGGGTCCTCGTGATTCAATTAGTTGTCTTATTATACATGACTACTAGTAGATTACAAATACTCTATTTAGATCTCACAGCATATTGTTGTCGCAAAGCATCAGACAGCTTCGCCGACCTGAGAGGTCGTGTTATTGGTTCTTTGTAGTTTTGGTACTTGTTTTCCTTGGTGAATATTACCATTTTCAATCTCACAAAGTAAATATGAGAGATAAGATTATCATTAACCTTTTCGCTCTTCTACCAGAAAATGCCTGGTTTATGCCACCATTTTCTCAACATTCAGGTTCAGTCTCTACATCTCTTTTACTATTGTCAAAGAAAACCAACAATAGAACGTGATCAAAGTAGAGTAAGTCAGAGATATTTTCTTTCTTTCTACATTCTGTTTTTCTTTTTACTGCATTATATTTTTTGTGTTTAATAATGATGATGGTTGCAGTTTTTTGTCCTTTTCTGTTCTGTAGAAAGAAAGGTTATAGTTATAGCTTGTTCTTCATGTTTTTCTTTTCATCATTGTACGTACACTCGGCATTTTTCTGTCATCAGCATTACGTCAAAATTTTTACTGTTGCTTGCCGGTCCAATTGCATTTATAAATCAAACATAGGTAAAATGATACGAATGATCTTGCGTGCTGTGATTTCCTAGAGTAAACTTAAAAGTACATACAGAAACATTGAGCCAACGCTTTTGTCAGAAGTACAGACTAAACAGGTGAATAAAATAATGAAAATAAAAATAAAAGAGACAAAAAAAACCTAGCATGAAAATCTGTAGAGGCGTGGATGCTTAGTTCGACGTATGGTACCAAAAGATTATATCAAACAGATCAAAAAAATTCAGTTATTACAGCTTTCAAGCTATCGTTCGTAACTTTCGACTTCGTTTCGTTCTAGAATCACTTGTTCCTCGATGAGTTCCAAAAACGCATTTTCAACGCTCTACCAAAGTATGCTCTACTTTCACAATACACATCATCAGCACCTTTCGTCGATGCAACAACAATGCAAGCAGGCCAAAAACATCGGAGATCTGCACCGTTTGGCTTCCGATATTCATTCCTTTTGTCACGCTCTTCATCTACATCACACGATCGAAGATAGACACTTGTTTCCTCCAATTGCCCGCAAAACAGATATCTCGCATTTAGAAGCCCACCATGAACAACTTGCACAGTTACTGGTTGAGTTCGAAAATTGGGCTAAGAGCCTCAAGCAGCTCAAAAACACAGACAGCAGCTCAAAAATACAGACTGCTATCATCGATACCACCTCACTCGTTAATAAAGTATCAACATTAGTCAACGAGCATGAAAGAGCCGAAGAGCAGGTTATTGCGCCGGATAATATGAAAAAATTGTTTACAGAAAGCGAGATAAAACAGTTTTTAAACATGTAATTTACGGTAATTTTTTAAATGATGATACACTTTCTATATCCAGCTATTTTTGAATCCGGTAGCAACATTTATTTTCGAAAATAAAATCTGAAACCTAACGAAAAAGTGTTTTACGAAACAGTTAAATTCCAGTTTTGAAGAGGACACTTTAGCTATTCACTCATAAAAAGAAAACAATATATTGCTACTTTTCTAGTTTTGCAACGCTTTTCCTACAATCGTAATGAAATTTTTGTATAACTTTTTTCGTTCCGTGCTTCAACTATTTTTTTTAACCGTTTATCGAACTATTCGTTAAGTCTGATGCGTCCGTAAGAAATTATCGTATTGTTCAACAAACTGTAATTTTTCGAAATAGAGTCGCTCAATCTGATCAAGTAATGTTGCATTTTTTTTGTTTTTATTTAAACATAGCAATAAAATATGGATAAAACGGGGCAAGCCCCATTGTATGCCCATCGGGGAAAAAAAGTGGAGTAATCAAAAGAATATCCATTAAAAGAAAATGAGTCTGCATTAAAGAATATATTTTTATAGAACGAAGATTGAGTGAGGTAGTGGTATGAGTGTATAATAGATGACAAAAGGAAGAGACAACAGCTTAGTATAAATATATAGATCCATGTGTGCCAGTAGGAATAAAAGAAGATAGCAATAATAGGGCATTAAGGTATAAACCGCTCAGTACGTTTGATAAAGTGCAGTATTTTTGAAAAGGCTTCAGTTAATTGTTCAGCTGGCAGTTGTCTAATTGTTGCATGTCTTAAAATTAGCTAATCACGGTGAATTCTATCACAATTCAACAGCACTTTCAGTTTTATGACAAGCTCGTTCCTCTGCCCGTCGTAATATAGTAAAAAAAAAATAATGAGTAGTGCATTCTTTTTCTCCACAAGATCAAAATAGTGATGGGACGAGTTTACGGTGATCTAAAGGCTCAATCAGCTGAGGAAATTCAACACGAAGACGGAGATGGTGAATTTCAAGTTCACGCTCAGAAACTAGTGACAGTTTAAACGAAGAAGCGAAGTTTGTCGTCAATTTAAATTTAAAAGTATCAGCTCCAAGTATCAGCGCCAAGAGGCGCATGCTTGCCTGATAAATAATCTATCTACGAACTGTCTAACTTGAGAAATAACTGGCATCATGTTGCGACTAACACTGCGAGTAGCATAGGTCAACTGCGTATTCACTCGTATTAATTCCTTCAGATGACTAGCTGTTTTTCCATACATTATTTTGTGAAACAAAAACAGTCTACGACCATAAATATGATTGTGGATTACTAGCCATCCCAAATCGTAGAACATTTTTTCATGTGATGTTCCTCGCATGGCTCCAGAAGCTGCTAAGCACGCTTGATACTGTATCTGGTTTAGACGATTTAGGTCGTCAGCACCTTTATCGATCAATCGAGCTAGCTCTATTTGATCTACCTCCAACCGCCCGCTTAACCAACCGGTTAAGCTAGTTCTCGGTATCAAATAGATTAAACAGAAAGAGGTTATCAGCTAAGTTAACCGACCGATTGAGCTAGCGCTATCTGATTTTTTCCTCTCCTTTTGATATAAGCTTTATTCTTTCAAAATACACACTCAGAATACAGAATACTTGTATTCTGAAAGAATAAAGCTTATGTCAAAAATACATTGGTTTTTAGGAGTCGAGCATTTAGCAGAATTTTTAAAATCGGAAGTCTAAACAGTAAGGACACTTGAAGAACCTTATAAAGGAATTTTACTACGAATAGTAAGAAAGCAGAAAAATACAATTCTTTTGCAGATTCGAATCTGCGAGACAGTAATCTTTTCTGCTTCTTGTATTTTCTTGCTAACAAAAGCATTTTCGAGAGTTGTGTCTCGAACATAAAATGTGGCAAATTTAATTTTCCAAATTGCAACCAGATTTTAAGAAATCTTTCTTCATGGGGAAAAACAGTAAATACCACTTTTCACCGTGAAGATCGATTTGTACAAAGTTGCGACTCGCAAATTAAATTTAGAAAATTAAATTTGCCACATTTTATGTTCGAGACACAACTCTCGAAAATGCTTTTTTCAGGCAGAAAACACCAATCACTGAAATATCTTCTTAATGATTTCATCACTTATCAACTGCTACATGTGTGCCTGATAGCTTAGTTCGTTAAAACGTCGCGTTACTTCCAATCTCAGTTCTGATAGTGCGCTGTAATCGACGAGTTCGATTCTCGTAGGGCACATATTCGTTTTTTCTTATTTTTTAGGCTAGCTTTAAGTGCCCGGTTAACTGAGCGCTCTAACCGTCCGTTTAACCGGATCCTCCAACCACCCGGTTAACCTACTTGATAACCACCATCTTATTAAATATATTTCGTCTTCGGAGCTAGCTTAACCGGTCGATTAACTGGCGGTTAACCTAGTTGTCAACCTCCCGCTCCTATTCGATTATGATAACCTAGTGCTGGGTTCACTACTAGGTTGAAGCTAACTAGGTAAAAAGATACATTTACCTAGATATATCAAGTCAATAACCGCCCAGTTATGTAGTCGATGGAGCTAGCTTCTCTCCGTAGAGCATTTTTGCTTGGGCTCCTTCCTCACTTTTCCTCCTAAATTAAATTTTCCCCTCCTTTTGATATAAGCTATATTTATATAAAAGTATTCTGTATTCTGAGTGTGTATTCTGAAAGAATAAAGCTTATATCAAAAGAAGAGGAAAATTTAGTTTAGGAGGAAAAGTCAGATAACGAGGACGAATAAGATGCAAGAACCTAGCTGATAACCTCCCTGTGTTTAATCTGTTTGATACTAGGAACTAGCTTAATCGGTCGGTTAAGTGGGCGGTTAACCTAAGTGATAACCTCCCCAACCGCCCAAAAGTAGGCTGAACCGCCCGATCCTTGGTTAAACTTTTTGAGGTGGAGTTGGCTTAACCGGGTCGAAAACCGTGTTACCTAGCTCCAACCGGCCGATTGTAGCTCCATTTTTTTTTGCTTGTGATATTAAGGTATACATTTTCTAGAAGTTTATTGGATACAAGAAACGCTTTTATAACTTCACAAGAAAAAAATCCGAAAGTACTTAACTTTCGAAAAATAAAAGATACAGACAAGTTACTTCACGGTCACACTGGACAGACATTGCTGAAAATGATTGCAAGATAGACATGGAAGACAAAATCCTTTTTCTTTTCATCAACAAAACCTGCCAGATGTTATAAGAAAAAACTTGCGGATTGAATAAGTTAATACGTTGCGATGTTTCTTACCGTTACGTTGGATTTTTTCCACGCTAATCCTACATAAACTATGCAGGATTTCGTCATGGCCAGCAGAAGAAAAGGTCCTGCGTAAAGGTGAGAAACATCGCCAGATATCTTAATACCGACAACACGTGAGAGCTTGCGCAAAGTCTTGCGGGATTCTGCATGAATTTTGATTAATTTTTTCGGTGGGTAGTGAGGTTATAAATACATCAACTAGTGGGTTGGGCTCATTGATCCTTAAATTTGCGACAACAAACTATTGGTTTTCTCCTTTGAGACATGCGGTTTTTACACAATTCTGGCTAAATGTTTTACGTACTAAGAATGGCATCGCCTATAAATAATAAATAAATAGAAAATATTAACTGTTAAAATATTTAAATGTAATGATCGTGGATGTCTTACATGTCCGGATAGTATATCGTATCATTGTTTTCGTTCTTCCATTACTCATATTAAGTACAACGTAGTCTATCAAAATGACATTGATACAAGTTGTAAAACAAGAAACATTACATGAAAGACGTGTCCGAGAAAAAACGCGTTTTTTAAGAATGTTTTTCAAAAATACGGAATTTTTGGCGCTCTTTTAAACACATTGCGTTGTGCCCCGTCAATATAAAGAAGCGCAGCTTTTGTGCGAAAAGCCTATGGGATGCGCTTTTTTGTAGAAAGGCTGAAGAGGATCCTCCCATAACGGTCACGGAGGTCCGGACAGATGAAAACTGCGAAGAAACATAGCAATCCTAGTTCAGCTGTAAGGATCGGATCCCGGGGTATCAGCTCATGAGAAAAAGCAATATACCCTATTCTAAAAAATTTCCGCACTTACGGCCCAGTTTTCCAAAGGGCTTCTAAAAAACTTGTTTCAGAAAATCCTTCTGAAAAACTTTTGTTTATGGAAACATATCTTTAAATCTTCTCTTTCGAATATCGAAAATTGCACGTGTTTATTGCTTTTCATCTGAAGTGATTCGAAAAATACTCAGTTTTGGCGGCGGTAGTTATTTTTCGCATTTGTTTTCACCTATGCTATAGCGAACGTGATCTGCAATCTAATCTCACCACTCTCCGCTCACATTTCAATGTATCCGAATCGGAAATCATTTTTCGATGAGATCTTTGAGAGAGACATCTTACATGCTGGTGCTTTAGTGCTTATGATGCCCAAGTACATGTTATTTCTAATGACCTATATATTTCTTTACATTGTAACCATTATATCCTTTGCTTTCTTTTTCTTTTAAGATTATTACTTACTGATAAGAGGTATATATAACGAATATGAAATATGTAGTGTTTCTTTGTTCTTTATAAAAGAAAACAGTTGGGTAAGAAAGATTGGTTTACTATACTGTTCGTAACAAATATTTAGTCTAAGAATAACATTATGTTACACAAGCCAATAATAAAAACCGAATTGCCCGGTCCAAAAGCTAAACAAATAATTGAAGACGATACAGAATATGTAACACCATCTTTTTATCGTTACCCATATAAACTTGTTGTTGAAAAAGGTTACGGTGTTTGGATTGAAGATACTGACGGTAATGTATTTATGGATTGTAATGCAGGTATAGCCGTTTGCTCAACTGGCCATTGCCATCCCGAAGTTGTCGAAGCAATTACAAAACAGACACAAACACTGATCCATATGTGTGGAACAAATTATTATTATCATCACATGCCCGCATTAGCCAAGAAACTTGATGAATTAGTTCCAATAAAAGTACCGACAAGAACATATTTTGCTACTTCAGGTGCTGAAGCAGTTGAAGCAGCATTAAAACTTGCTATGTATCATACAAAACGACAAAAATTCATTTCGTTTATTGGCTCATTTCATGGCCGAAGTCTTGCTACACTTTCTCTAACAGCGTCAAAAAGAATTCACCAAGTTGGCTATATGCGTCATCTATTAGACGTTATTAATGTACCTTATCCAAACAAACTTCGTTCACCGTTCGCAAATGTAACTGATGATGAAAGTGCATCAAAAGCAACGATCAACTGGATTGAAAATATTGTTTTCAAAACAACCACACCAGCTGAAGACGTTGCTGGAATTGTTGTTGAAGCTGTACAAGGCGAAGGTGGCTATATTCCTGCACCAAAAAATTTTTTGAAAGAACTTCGACGCATATGTAACGAAAATGGTATTCTTTTAATTGTTGATGAGGTTCACAGTGGGATGGGACGAACGGGAAAAATGTTTGCTACCGATCATTATGATGTTGAGCCAGATATTATGTGTTTGTCAAAAGGTATAGGTTCAGGTTTACCAATTGGCGTTTGTGTGGCTCGCGCTGATATAATGAATTGGCCACGAGGAGCACATGCTTCAACGTTCAGTGGAAATCCTGTTTGCATTGCATCAGCATTAAAAACAATTGAATTATTGGAAAATGGCCTAACGGAAAATGCACGTATTGTTGGGAATTATTTAAAAGATGGATTACTTAAACTTCAAGACAAATACGATTGTATTGGCGATGTTCGAGGTCTCGGTTTAATGATTGGAGTAGAAATCGTTGAATCCAAACAAACGATGAAACCAACAGCTGAACTACGTGATAAAATCGAAACGGCTTGTTACAATCGAGGTTTACTTATATTTGGAGGTGGAGGTGTAAGCGTAATCCGATGGGCACCACCATTGATTCTGACAAAAGAAAATGTTGATGTTGCTCTTGAAATTTTTGATGAAGCAATAAAGGTTTCGGTATAACATAAACTTGTTCAATTATTAGACAGATACAGTGTTTCAAAATACTTGTATGACATTTTGTATATGAACATATTTTACAATATGATACTCATGTAACTCATTGTAATTTCTCAAAAATTATTTTAATAAATAATTATATTTTATTTCTATTAAAGGGAGACGGATTCCTTCAAAAGGTATTATTAAACCTTCTCAGATTGTACAGAATACTTAACTGCATATATCCTACATTGTTTTTGGAGAGTCGATAAGTATTCACGATGTTATAAATTAATTAAAATAAAATTTTAGCAAAAAGTTTATTTGCTGGATCTATTTTTACTGTTAACATATTCTAATTTTAACTGTAAATTCTTATTGAATGTAAACATTCACGGGACGGTGGACACAGTTCAGCGCTACGGGAACTCATCCTTCGAAGTCGTTTTACTAATCTCTGAATCCTAACTGGCATTTAATGGAAAGCTTTGTCTAGCTTTCTATTTCGTCATCTTTAATTTCATTTCATAAGTTTCATTTTATTTCTTTAGATGAATAAATTATATTACAAAAATCATTCAACTGTTAATTGACTGGAATCTGATGAGTAAATACATATATAGATAACGCTGCAAGTGAGCGCCAAATAGGGTCCGGCGGGATTATCCCGATCCCTATTTTTTTCCCGAACCCGGTCCCAATCTCGTCGGGATCGAGATCGGGATCCCGGTTTCAATGTCACTGAGGTATTGTTCAGGATCCCAATCCCGCCGG